TAAATGATTGTATCAGTAGAAGAAATTTGACTGACATGTTGATGACGCAAGAAATTCCTGTTTGGGGGGGAAAGCTGAGAAAGTTCAGGAAAAATAACTCAGGGTTACATAAACAAAACTAGGCTGTGGCACATACAAAATTTAGGGATTCTGAGTTGAATTAAATTTTAAAAAAGTCACCTGAAAGCAGAAAACGTAAAATATTACCTTATTCTAATAATATTTATCAAAATCATTGAAATTAGAGGAATGAGGCAAGGGTGTCTTTTGTCTTCCCTACTTTTTATTTCTTCAACTTAAATTTTGGCTGTATGTGTACAATCAAGTCTTGATATCCGTGGTATTTGCACAGTAAATGATATAAAATGCAGGTGATGCTATCTCATGAACCCACAAAATGCAATCTTTTACACAAATTGTTAAATTGATTCTAAATATTATTGAGGTTTTTGGATGCAAATTAACTGTACACAGATATGAAATAATAGGCATAAATACTTCCACTTATCTTTCCAATGTGGTCACAAATATTAGTCCATTACTTGGGAACAAGAAGAAGGTAAGATATTGCAAATACTGGTATATTTGGCGTCTTATTCAAAGGAGTGTTTTTTTTGAAAATAAATACCAGACTTCTCTGTAAGAAGTCATCAAAAATTTTTTGAAATACGGTCATATCTGGCTGAATGATGACTTGGGATATTAGCATCATATTGTTAAAATGTATCTTTTGTCTGTATTGCTTATTTTTGTTCCTTTCCCTTCCGATAGCAGTTTCAACTCAACTTTTGAGTGACGTACAAGCCACATTTCAACCATTTATATGGGAGAAAGGCCTGCTAGGATAAAAATTGCAGGAGTTTCCTGTTAAAGGTTGTCTTGCAGCACCAAACAACAAATACAACCATTCATTCCAACTAGTTGCCTTAACTAATCTTTGATTATCTTGAACTATATCTGTTGGATTTTAGCTGGCATTATCTGCCTTATGCTGTCAGGAAATGAAATGTGGATCACTTTGTGTACACCAATAACCTATAGCTTGTTTGTTTTTGTGTGTAAGGAAAATACATGGATTATTCGTCATTAAGTCTTATTGTGCAAATATTAAAAAGTGAAAGGGCTGCTATACAGAATATATGAAATAATCTGATGAATTTGGATATGAGAACAGATAAGTAAAACTCTACACTAATAGATCATGGTACTCCTTGTGTTTTTGCTCTGAATGAGGCATCTGCTAATGGAAGAAGAGCCCCCAACACTCCCTGGAAAATCTGTTCTGGAGGAGGAAGGGAATCAGCCGAAATTTCATCCCTCTTCTTCCATTAGCTGATACCTCTTGCTAGATTGAATGCCCTTGATCAATTAGTCGCCTTTCAATAAACCATTATTATGTAAGATAGGATATTGTGCTTCAGTTAATGATATATAAAAATATATTAAAAACACATTAATTACATGCTGGACAGAAAATCATATTTCCCAATTTAAATTGCGAGATGTAATCCAGATTTTCTGTGTATTTAGGTGCAGTGTGTTTAAAATTTGACTTAACTGAGAGAAAGTGTTTGACAGTATTCAGTTAATTTATTGAATCCCGCCCCCCAAAATAATAATATAGGATGTGCTAAAATATCATGTTAATAAGAGCCATCATGCTTCCATAGCAAAGATTCTTTGTAATGTTAAAATACCAGGGGCAAAAAAGAGAATAAAATATATTCTCAGATAATTAGGGTGATTTGGGATTTCCTGCTTATTTATAACTTTCATGTCTGTAGCCTTCAAATTAGACGAGCAAGGCAATCATTGAAATATTTTTTTAAAAAAATTAAGGCAAGTAACGCATTAGAAAATGCATAAACTTGTCTAATAATATAACAATGAAATCTTTATTAATATCATATCTTCCTTTATTAATTTAGTATAATACTGTTGCTTTTAAAAACTTGAGGACTGTTTTATTGGATATGTAAGAGTGTAGTAATATTATAGATATGTACCAGTAATATTGGTAGTAAGAATTGGTTAAAAAAAAGTGTGTCGTTTACTATGGATGTGCTCGGCCTCTAACATTCATTCACTTTGTATCTTTCTGTGAGTTTATAAAAATTATGATCTATTTCTGAGTTGCTGTGTAGCCTTGTCCACTTCTATCTGTGTTACAAGTCATTCTGTGTAAAATGAACCTCCGTGTTCTCCATGGACTATATAATCAAGAATTTAAAAATGGCTACAATTTTAACCTCTTTTCACTGAAGTGGATGAATTTTTTTTCAGGCACAGGAGGCTCTCCAGAGTAGATTAAGCCTGCCAAATTGCAGACAAATAAATAAAAAGGATTTTTGTTGGGGAGGGGCGAAAAGCATTGACTTTCCAACATAGTCCTTTGTGAAGGGGAAGTGGTAAAATAATTAAAAGGTAACTGAGTGGTGTGTATTCTTGCTAAAGAACTGCAGCTTCATACTGGCTTTTGCTCATGGTGTTAGTTTGTGTTCTCCAGTAGGGTTTGCCAGTCTCCTGATAGGCCCTTACAGATCTCTGATAGGCCCTAAGACCTAAGTTCTCTGAAAGGAACTTTTTTGTTGTTGTTAAAGCAGAGCAACATAGGATTTAAAAAACAAACAAACCTGTAATGACTTTTTTGGGTAAAACAGCAACAACATCCAAACAAAAACACCCCACACCTCTGCTGATGTGCTCTAACAAGCAAAATAATCCAAATCTCTTTGGTGCGCCACATATAACATTTTAGACAGTCTCACTTTTTGCAAAGCCCTTAGGAACAAGGATATTATATAAGAAAATAGAACTGGGTAGATCACAGAAAAGCAGAAAAACAAAGTTCCCAAGTAACACAGGGCTTAGAGGGGAGTGCCCCAGTCCAAACCAGGGTGGGGTGGGACAGGTTTATTGACATCATGTTTCATTTCAGAGGAGGGGCAATCCCCAAATCACCCCAATTTGCAGCATTATTTGGCTGCTCCTCCCTACTATTCACAAAACTCCTGCCTCTTCTGTAATAGGCACCGGCTTCAAAAACTCAAACATTTTCTTAAATTTAATTGATTCTCATTCTGCATGTTATTAATGCACTCACCTATGTAAATAAGAATCCCACAGCTTTGGAACCAAGGCAGCTTTATAATAAGCTTTATAATTAAATTCCATTATTTAAAAGTACCATACAAAATATTGCTTAAATGTTAATGTTTTACTCAGAATGCAGAGCATTGGGTTAAATCATTCTGAAATGGTATTCAAAATGTTGGAGAGGTGCTTATCTGCTGAAATCTTCCAATTAAAACTTCCAATTAAAATACATGAGATCCATTTTTTAAAAAAGTGGTGACCTAAATAAATTATTGCTGCGGCTATATTACATCTTTTTCCCCAACCAGAGATCACTATGTAATTAGAGCATTGGATTGCGGTATCTTTTTAAAAAATATGGGAGCAATAGCAACAAAAAATAAATACTGGCAAAGATTTCACTTCATGTTTTTCAACTGAGAGACTGTTTTGTAGTACTTGTTATTTTTCCTGAATGGGGTCATGGAGCTTTGCTGTAGGTTTTCCATCCTCTTTGCACTTTGACACTTTGAGGTAAGTTTCCCCGCTCCCCAACCAGCACATTTAGCATTGCGCAAATCTAAATATGCCCTTGCTGCATAAATTGCAAATCTGTATATAATCATCCAAGGATAGCAACAGGGGATGGGGCTCAGGAATCTGAGCAAGTTCTCATTTATTTTGGTCTGTTTTCCATACACTACCACCCCATGCCTAGGCTTTGAATCCTTGTCTAAAATACTGAAGACTTTTGCATCACCAGTTCTCCTCTCATTGGCTGGCTGCATAAATGGCTCAGGGAACATGACCAATCACCCCTTCAGGAATTTGTGACCTCTGAGTGAAGCACAGTTTAAACATCCCACCCTTTCCCTATTTCTAGACACTCCCCATGAAGGCTTGGAAGCCTCCTTTTGATGGTTCTTTGACTCCCAAGCCTCCCCAACAAAACAGCTTCTCGCTGCATCCACTCTTTCATTAGAAACAAACAATTGCCCAGAAACCCATGAATATATTTTTTAAAAAAGAATTACTGCTAGCCAGATGCTTTCAGCCGAGACAACACTTTGTAAGTCACATGGAATATTTAAAAGGTTCCTCTGTGTTTCTAGGATGCCAGTTATCCGAACATTTCACAAAAGAAGACAGTTTCAAAGCATTATCTTTTGATAGTGCTATATGGACTGCAGCATTATTTTCATGACTTAATATTGTGGGGTGCTTTTGATATGTATTCCATTGATTTAATAGGTACCTGACGCCCCTAGTTTTTTTTTCAAGCTTCTGTACAGCCATGGGAATAGAAAGCATTTGTTGAAGACCACAGCTCAGATGCCACGTCACATTCTGGGCTTCTGCTTGAGATAGCAGTTTGGGAAGAGCAGTTTTTTTTTAAATTCAGCATGGTCAAATTAGTCTAGAAATAGGGGTTTCCAAAAATTAACACAAAATTCTGTTGCATTTCTCTTTTGAGCAAAATTTGCCTAGGCCACTGAGGAGCTTCCCCATGTAGATATTTCTAATGAGCTGCAGGTGTTGCATGAGGTAAATGGTGAGGAAGAGTGATTATATTAGCAGAAATATTCTAAATTATTTGAAGAGGGTCGGAAGGCCAGGAAGAGGGAGAGGAGCTTTCAGTAGTTTCCAACATAGTTAATGAAAGAATGTACGCATTTTAGAAGTTAGGCTAGGCTTTCTGAGTAGAAGGCTTTTTTTTTTTTAGAAGCTCAGCAGTGAATAATGAAACAGATTGTCCCTTCAAAGAACATGATACAAAAGGTACACATTTATTTTTTTAAAAAAATCATTTTTTGCAGGTAGAGAGCATAGATATCTCATCGTATTAGCTAGCTTCATGGAAACCACATTTTAACAATCCTTTCCCACCCATGTGTCTCCCCTTGAACCCAATTCTATATTTCTAGAGCTCTCAGCACAGTGGCTCCTCTACCTCACTAGCATCTACCAAAGTCTGCAGCTCCATGGATGAAAATGATGGACCTGGTGAAGGTAATGTGTTTGCATGTGTGTTTGTGTGTGTGTTTGTGTGTGTGTGTTAATATGCCACACCAGCACACAAAATATGCCTCCCATCTTACAGTCATTGTCAGCATTTTATACTAGCTGATTACTTTGTTTTTATCAGTTATTTTGTTACTAAAAGGTAAAGGTAAAGGGACCCCTGACCATTAGGTCCAGTCGTGCCAGACTCTGGGGTTGCAGCGCTCATCTCGCTTTACTGGCCGAGGAAGCCGGCGTCCAGCTTCCGAGTCATGTGGCCAGCATGACTAAGCTGCTTCTGGCGAACCAGAGCAGCGCACGGAAACGCTGTTTACCTTCCCACCGGAGCGTTACCTATTTATCTACTTGCACTTTGACGTGCTTTCGAACTGCTAGGTTGGCAGGAGCAGGGACAGAGCAATGGGAGCTCACCCCGTTGCGGTACCTATTTCTCTACTCACACTTAGACGCGCTTTCGAACTGCTAGGTTGGCAGGAGCAGGGACCGAGCAACAGGAGCTCACCCCATCGCAGGGATTTGAACCGCCGACCTTCCGATTGGCAAGCCCTTGGCTCTGTGGTTTAACCCACAGCGCCACCCGCATCCCTTATTTTGTTACTTATTGTAAATTTGTTATGGATAAAACACATGCATTGTAAGTTGTAAGCCAAAATAGAAAAGGGCATGTTTGCTATGCAAGCTGCTCACACTTTCATTCAGGGCCAGTATCAGCCCACAGCATCCTTGGGCAGCTGCTGGTGCCCAGCTCCCTGGCAAAGCCCATTGCTGATGCCTGCCCTGCCCTCCCTTTTATGTTTAGCTGCCTTTTTCATTTCCACGGTGTCCCTGATGTAGAGTTCCTCTGAGGCGTTGTGATAACTTAAAATGGCTACCAGTGCCAGGTAAACTCATCAAGATCCACTGCTGGAGGAGGGGACTCACAAACAGGCGCTGCCAAGGGCTGCTTCAAACCTGGAGTCAGCTCTGCTTTCATTGCTTTAAGATGCATATATTTAAGTGCTTTTCTTTCTTTCTTTCTTTCTTTCTTTCTTCTTTCTTTCTTTCTTTCTTTCTTTCTTTCTTTCTGGTAGTTGCTAGAAACTGAAATGGTAGTATTTGAAATACGTAACTATTGCCAGTATTTAACTGGTCCAAACACTTTACATGTAAGTGAAGGTTTATGGCTCTAGCTTTTTAAAACGTTATTAGACACTTGCAAACTGTGCTTTTGAGTACTGTTTGAAGAGTAATGGCACTCTAATGGCTACTAAAATACAATAACTAGAAAACCCTTTCCTTCACTGTTTTGACTTACTGTGATTTTAAAGCATCTGGTGCCCAGGTTGTATATGTTGGTGACATTATTGAGAACACTTATTTAAAAACTAAATATTTAATACAGAGGAGAAAATAGCACTTATCACATGAGCAAGTTTATGGCAGTCTCCGATTACAGGATGTAATAAAAGAAGTGCTCGAGTGTTAGACTTCTTTTGTAGATAGATTTAATTGTGATGTGTTGAACTAATGCAGTCTCCACCTGAGATTGAACTATTTCTGAGCAGATCACTGAAACATCTGTTTTGTATAATTTTTTTAAAAAGGTTCATACATGCCAAAGAATTGTTTGTAAATGTGTAAAACTGGGTCTGGTGCCTACAAGTTTTCATACTTAGCCTGGTGAAACTTGTTGAGTGTATGCAATATCAATGGCACGGTTTCTCTGATCAGCAAAATGAGAATGCTGATTCTGAATGGTTTCCAGTTGTCTTAAACCATAAGGTAAAATATGTATTGTGTGTCATATCTGCGTTACCTTCTCTACCAATAAAAATGTACTGATTCTTTTCAGAAGTGTTGGAAGAAGGCTTCCAGGTTCCAGCCTCTATAGCAGAGAGATATAAAGTTGGCCGGACTATAGGAGATGGAAATTTTGCCATTGTAAAGGAGTGTATAGAAAGGTGAGAAAGATTTCCTACCTATTACTGTTAAAGCAGTCACTAATGTCAGGCTTCTCTTGGATCACATCTTCATTTCCAGCACATATGGAACAAAGGAATGTCTCAGATCCATGTGTACACAATGGGAAAATTACGCCAGCTATGCCTGGAAATAAGTGTTTTGCAGGCACAATCTATAAATTTAATGCTTTGATTTATCCCATCCCTGCGGCTTTTTCCTTGACTGTGCTCAACACACTCCTTCTAGGAGATTGTGAAACCTTTCCCATTGTACTAAAATAACACATTAGAAATCATTTCCCTTGCAATTGGAAAACAAATGCCTGCAGCTTTCTCTTCTGACTGCTCAGCTGAGAGTTTCTTATTATTTAGATCTGGAGCCGCAGGCCTCAATTCTTCTTTCCGCCAAAAACTTAAAAGAGTGTTCTGTGCACAAATCACAGGAATTTATGATACTTCCTTATACTTGGTCAAATTTTTTGTACATCTAGCCCAGCACTATTGACTCTGCCTGTGGCCACTTTCTAGGATAGCAGTATCCAGTTCCACATTCATTGTACACGAATGCCTATGAGGGAGGCCCACAGAAATTCATAGGGGAAGCAGACAATGCCCAGTTGAAGCAGAAAGGATAGGAACAGGACCGTGGACAGCTCCCATAGGCATCACTAAGGCAGCTGCAGAAGAGGAACTCAAGGCAACATGCATGATAAACCCTCCCATTTTTATCCTCACAATGGTCCTGTAGGGTAGACTGAGAGCAAGTGACTGACCCAAGGTCACCCAGTGAGCTTCGTGGAGGAGATTGATCTTGATTCATCATAGTCCTAGCCCAGCTTCTTCTTCTTCTTCTTCTTCTTCTTCTTCTTCTTCTTCTTCTTCTTCTTCTTCTTCGATCACTCGTAGCCGAGTAAGATTGTCTTCCATAAACATGGTTTTAACAATGAGTCCGTAAGTGACTGTGGAAGCCAATTCTGGATCCACACATCCTTCCACAGTGGGGACATTGGTTCCTGGGAGGGAGTTGATCATGGTGTGGATTTGCCAAGCATGCCTTCCTCTTAGCACATTTCTCCCTTGCATCCTGAGTTCGAGTGTCTTCAAAGCCCATGACACCTTTGGTAAAGGCTGTTCTCCAACTGGAGCACTCGCAGGCAAGTGTTTCCCAATTGTTGGTGTTTATACCACCTTTTTTTTTAGATTTGCCTTGAGAGAGTCTTTAAACCTCTTTTGTTGACCACCAGCATTACGCTTTCCATTTTTAAGTTCGGAATAGAGTAGTTGCTTTGGAAGACGATAATCATGCATCCTCACAACATGACCAGTCCAACGAAGTTGATGTTGAAGAATCACAGTAATCAATAGGTTAAATATACACAAAGGATGTACACTGGAAAATCTCTTTGGGGGGGGGAGATTTTTTTAAAAAAATCTTAATTTATTTCTTTTGTAAAACCTTCATTTGTATTTTGTTAATCTGGATTTAGTTAATTTGATTTTAAAATTATAAAAGCACTTAGTGTGGAGAAAGCCCCAGCAAAGGTCTTTAACATAGGGTGGGTTTTGTCTTGCCACCAGTTATTTTTTAAGGGGACAGCATTCCTTTCCTCTTATGCAAGTCAATGGAGACTACAGATTGCAATGCAAAACTTTAGGTTCAAGCAAGATAATTCCAAATGAAAAAAAGAGAAATTTTATTTGAAATCGTAAATCTGTTTTAAATACAATCAGGGCTCTTTTATATTTATTTTTTTCTTTCAGGTTTTTTTCTTTCAGATTAAACAAATGCCTGTGCCTGATCTGGAGAAAAGTCTCTTTGTTTTTTGTCATGCACCTGCTCTGAAATGCAAAATTGTGTGTTTTGTGATTTGGTAAAAAGCAACCATGCTTGGAATCTCTTAGGTCAGTTTAGTAATAAATATTATAAGGCCTAGAGTCAAATATTTGTGGTGAGGGACGTAAGAGGGAATAGAATCATAGCAGAATTGGCAGTACATAAATTCAGATAGCATAATATTTTTTTAAGGTATTTAACTATATTCCTGTTTAGTGAGCATGTAATACTGCTTGCCTCTTATTTCTCATACCTAGAAAGTCTTTTTTTTAAAAAAAAAAAGGAAAAGGAAAGCTAACTTATTCAGGGAACTTTTTCTATTTTTGGCACCTTGATATTGCTGTAGTCTTTCTTGTATTTTTCACTGTAAATGGTAGACAAGTTGTGCTTTATTTATTGAATATCTGATTCTGTGGGGTGTTCCTAGCATTTCCTAGGTTTTCCATCACTGTTGGTGATAAAACATGTTAAGCTAAAAGTTTATAACTCTCAGTATTATTATTATTATTATTATTATTATTATTATTATTATATTCTGTTGTAAAAGGTGAGTCAAACCTAAAAGCAGTCAAGCTGTCACAAGCTTGTTGAATTGATCACATATAAATTCCCTTCATAATATGAGCTAATCTTTCCAGCATGTAGTTACGTTCAGCCAAGTTCAATAAGTTGCTTTTTTTGTGAACAGAGGGTCAACCACAGTGTTTTGTTCATAGGCCTTAAATGTTTCTTGAAGCAATAAACCCTTTATTGTATATTTATGTGAAACTCTTCAGAATAAGTTTGTGCATATAGAGATGGCTTATTGATGCTTCTTTATTTCTCGTAGCTCTGCTAAGAAGCCCTCTAGTGGGGAAAACAGAAGAATGGCTAATTACACACACATGAGCCATTTTCTAACAGCTTCAGTTTTTGAACAACCTGAATAGGGCAAAGTACATCTGTTTGCTTGTTGCCAAGCCTTCGCTTTAAATCTACAATTTCATCTTTGAGGTTTTCAACTTTGAAGTTTTCATTTCACTCCTGTTAGATGGCAGAATACTGTATGTTTCTTATTCAATTAAACCATTCTGCTTCACCTTGTCAAACCTAAAGGTGGCTTCCAACAGCAGTCAAATGGTAGCTTTATAACATTCTCTCGTCATATTTCCCTTTGGGCTGCTTTTTGGGTTGCTTTGCAAGCTTAATTGTTTGTTTGTTTGTTTGTTTGTTTGTTTGTTTGTTTGTTTGTTGTTTATGTGGAAATTTTGGCCTTGCCCTTCTAGTGCCTTAAAGCAGTTAAAAAATCTCACTATTGTATGAAACAATAAATTCAATGAAAGTCAACTGATAATAAATAAAGCATTGGGTACTGAGGTGGGGGGGGGACCTGCTGGATTAAAAGGACAGTGTCCAATTAAATAGGCTCACTAGTGCAAGGACTTATGCTCCCCCCATCTTCTCCCTGCATGCCTCCTAAATCTGTTCTAGAGGTTCCACCAACCCTCAGGAGCAGATTTGGGGAGTCCACAGCAGGCAGGCAGGGAGTGGAGAGGGAGGAGAATTTCTCTGGCACCCACTATGTCTTCACCAATCAGCAGAAGGCAGACAGGGAGAGAGGGCACCACATATGTCCCATGGAGACAGAGAGGGAGCTTAACCACAAGTCCTGGTTTGGAAGACCCGCTAAGCCAAACTTTAGCTTCACTTCTGAGTTCCCTCAGAATTTAGGAGGAGCAAATGAGAAATTGGAGACTGGGAATTGCTTTATGGCAGCCTGCTAGGCCAACTTTTGGCTTCTCGTGGGGTGTTAACTGGGCAGCCGTGCTGGTGAAGCCACTAAAATGGCTCATCTCATGTCACCATCAGTCAAACCTCAACTGCAGGTGGCACACTGGAAAGGCAGGTCTCAAGGAATGGTGAATAGTGCAACCACCCTATATGAGCTTCTGCATTTGTGCTGTATAAAATCATTTTTGTTAAATCTAAAAAGCACCATATGGCTGTTACTTCAAAATAATGTGACTACATCGTTCATCATTCTTTACATGCTGTCTCTATAATCTGTCTCTGCTAATATTAATAATCCATCCTATTCATCTGCCCTTTTGCAGCAAAACAAAACATGAGAATGTAAACTCTATGTTAGGGGAGATACTTGGTTTCCCACATATGGGAATACATTGCTTTCATAAAGGATACTTGGCATCCATCTGTCTCGGGAGACAGTGGAGCAGTGTACATTTGGGGGTGAAGCAAAACTGTTGGAAGCTTGCAGCATATCTGTGGCTATAGAGACCAATGTGAGAGAGCCAAAGAATCATAGAATTGGCGTCTGGTTGTGCTGCTGCAGATGCACTACCACATTTCATTTCTCTGCATGCCTCCCAGTGGTCATTCCTTCTTTGCTCACTGCTACATATGCATATTTGTCTCATGCATTTTTGTTGTTGTTGTTTAGTCATTTAGTCGTGTCCGACTCTTCGTGACCCCGTGGACCAGAGCACGCCAGGCACTCCTGTCTTCCACTGCCTCCCACAGTTTGGTCAAACTCATGTTTGTAGCTTCGAGAACACTGTCCAACCATCTCGTCCTCTGTCGTCCCCTTCTCCTTGTGCCCTCCATCTTTCCCAACATCAGGGTCTTTTCCAGGGAGTCTTCTCTTCTCATAAGGTGGCCAAAGTATTGAAGCTTAAGCTTCAGGATCTGTCCTTCCAGCGAGCCCCTCGTGCATTTTAGGTCCTTCATAATTTCCTTTCCTTTCTTTTATTTTATCTGGAGAGAGAGAAAATGTTTTCCACATAAACATAGTATCACAGAAATGAGCACACGCATAACCACCCCCATAAAATAGAGCCAATACTTTTGCAGCAGAGCCTTAGGGCCAAGTTAGATGTGATGCAAGAGATCTGGTGGAGGAGAGCAGCCTCTGGGAGATGGAGCTTAACCCTTCCGTCCTGTATTCTTTCTCCACTGCTTCCAGCCTTTCCGTGGAAACAAAAAGGAGCAGTAGTTGGTACTTTACTTGTTGAAGGCAGTTTGAACTGAAAACAGAAATCATTGTTTCATCTTCCTATTCTCTGTTGATTTCTCTTTCTGTCTCTCTCTAGGTCAACTGGTAGAGAATATGCTCTGAAAATCATCAAAAAAAGTAAATGTAGAGGAAAAGTAAGTACAGAAGATCCCCATTGTATCTCTTTCTTCCATGTTCACCTACTCTAACTTTAGTACAGTGGTACCTCAGGTTAAGTACAGTGGTGCCTCGCAAGACGAAATTAATTCGTTCCGCAAGTTTTTTCTTCTTGCGAGTTTTTCATCTTGCGATGCACGGTTTCCCATAGGAATGCATTGAAAATCAATTAATGCGTTCCTAGGGAAACCGACTGTCCCCCGACCTCTTCTGAAGGCTGGGGGGGGGAACAAGGGCTTTTCTTCCCACCCCCAGCATTTTAAAAAACCCCGGGACAGCGGAGGGCTTCTCCGCTGTCCGGGGCGATCTTAAAATGCTGGCGGGCGGCATTTTAAAATCGCCCCAGACAGCGGAGGACTTCTCCGCTGTCCGGGGCGATTTAAAAGCCCCTGGGAAGGCAGGCAGGGGGGACAAAGACTTTTGCCCCCCGCCAGCCTTCAGAAGAGGTCCTGGACCTCTTCTGAAGGCTGGCGGGGGGCGAAAGTCTTTGTCCCCCCTGCCTGCCTTAAAAGCCCTCCCGGAAGAGCGGAGAAACGCGCTGCGTTTTCTCCGCTCTCCCGGGAAAGGCAGGCAGGGGGGACAAAGACTTTGCCCCCCGCCAGCCTTCAGAAGCAGGTCCAGGACCTCTTCTGAAGGCTGGCGGGGGGCGAAAGTCTTTGCTCCCCCCCACACCCGCCTGCCTTCAAAAGCTGTCCCGGCCAGGCTTCGCGGACCTCTCCGCAAGCAGCGGCAGCGCTGCGCTGCTTGCCGGTGAGTTGCCGGCATGCCGAAGCCTGCGCGCGCTGAGATCAGCGCGCCCAGGCTTTGCGGCACCTCTCCTGCCTTCAAAAGCCGCTCCGGGATAGCGGGAAAGCGCTTCCCTGCTATCCCGGACTGCTTTTAAAATGCTGGCGGTGGGGAGCAAAGCCTTTCAGCCCCCGCCAGCCTTCCTGGACCTCTTCTGAAGGCCGGAGGGGGGGGAAAGGCTTTGCTCCCCACCGCTAGCATTTAAAAGAGGTCCCCGGAGATTTCCCTATGGGCTTTCGTCTTGCGAAGCAAGCCCATAGGGAAATTCGTTTTGCGAAGCGCCTCCAAAACGGAAAACCCTTTCGTCTAGCGGGTTTTCCGTCTTGCGAGGCGTTCGTCTTGCGGGGTACCACTGTACTTAATTCGTTCCAGAGGTCTGTTCTTAACCTGAAACTGTTCTTAACCTGAAGCACCACTTTAGCTAATGGAGCCTCCTGCTGCTGCCGTGCCGCCGGAGCACGATTTCTATTCTCATCCTGAAGCAAAGTTCTTAACCCAAGGTACTATTTCTGGGTTAGCGGAGTCTGTAACCTGAAGCGTATGTAACCCGAGGTACCACTGTATCCCCCTTTTTAGTAGCCGTGCTCCAGGCATTCCCACTGAATGAAGTGAGGTGGGTAACCTACCAGGGAGAGGGCTTTTTCCATTGTGGCATCCAATTATGGAACAGAGAATCTTGCCTGGTGCCATATTGGTAATCTTATTGGCACTTGCCTGCTGTATCTATTTTATCTGTATATTATGGTTTTGTGTTTTACTTTCATGTATTTATTTACTTTTGCCTCTTTTAAAATTGAAATTGTCAATGCTTACAACCAAATAAGCTCCCCAACAAATGAACAAACACAGTACAAATAAGAATAATCTATATAAAAATAATAAAAAATGTGTTTTCTTTTATATTTATTGTGGGTGGCATCCAACTAGTGTCCTGTCATTGTAAGGATTTCCACTTGGTCAGTGAAACTTCCCCCCTCTACGGATCCTGCCGATGGTTGTCCTGTCCTGTCCGGGGGACCCCCAGAACAGATTTAGGGGTGTGCCAAGGGACAAGACATAGCAAGAAAACAGACAGAAAAACTTAGTTTCAAAATTGGTAAATGTTTCTAAATTATTTGTATAGAAACATAAGATGACTTGGAGCAATCAGCCCAGATGTCCTTTGTGGTTGGTTTCATGGTGGGTAGTGGGGAAGTGAACAAAGGCTTTTGGTAACCCTTTCTATGTGAGGGAGTGTGACCTAACTAAGTCTGGAAGGACTGCTTACTCTATGGTCTTAACCCCTTCATGCATTAAGTTGAGCTAAGCATTCTGGTTTTATAAGGCTGATATTTATCCCACACATTCTGCATGAAACACAATGTGGGGAACTGAAGCAGATGGATAGATTTCTTCCATTGTCTTTCTACATGTGGTTTTCTTTTGTTTTGTGGCAGGAGCATATGATCCAGAATGAAGTGGCCATTTTAAGAAGGGTCAAGCATCCCAATATTGTTCTTCTGATTGAGGAAATGGATATGCCCACTGAGTTGTACCTTGTCATGGAGCTTGTAAAGGTATGTATATATATATGAGAGAAGGATCACCTGCTATTTCCCAGATTACCAACCATTCACTAGGCTTCAAATTAAAGGACTGGATAGCTGCTGATGCACAGATTTACATGAGATAGGAAGGATCTATGCCTTTATTTACCCCCTGGACACAGCAGCTGTTAAAGGGAAGAATCTATAGAAGGGTTTAGCCCTGTAGAGACAGGCAGGCAGAATGAACTAGAGGTAAGTACGTGCTCTCTGGACAGCAAGGTAGTGTTTTGGTTTTTGTCTTGATTGCTATTCTGTTCTAAGGTTTTTGAAATATATACATAGTTTTCACTGTATAAACATGATAAACCAGGTTTCCAACTTTGTTACTTCTGGTGGATTTGTGAGTTAGCCTTACTTGCAGGACATATGCCACAGATAGATAGGGATATCCAAGCGTGGTGATCAGATTCTGATAGGGATCAGTGAGTGAATCCCTGCTTCCATATTATTGATTGATCTGGATGGGCTGGGGTGGAAGAACAGAGAGCTAACCCACTTCTTATGCACATGCATGGGGAAATCATATGGAACTTCTTTCCCCTGGCTTTAAAAGGGGTTTAGACCATTTATGGAGAATAAGGCTATTAGTGGCTATCCGTCATGATGGATATGAAGAACCTGCATGTTCAAAAGCAGTAAGCTAATCAATATTAGTTGCAGGGCAGCATTGACAGGAGAAGTCTGTGGCCTTCATGCTCTGATTATGGATTTCATAGAGACATCTGCTCAGCTCCTGAAATTTGTGATCTGTAGAGGAGGCCCTCTGAATGTAGCCCTTTGTGTGGTAACGTGACACATGGCCTCCTCTGTGGTGGCATCTGACTAGTGCAGCACCTTCCCTTTGGAGGTGTGTCAACCAGTCTTGTTACTGAGCTTTGGTCACTAATTCAAGATACACCATTTCACCCAGGCTTTTGGGTGACATGGCTGTATGGTTGGGTCATCTGAATTGTTCTTATTCTTTGCTCCACCGACATGAGGTATATAAGCTCTTGGTCTTATTATGTTTAGTGGATAATGATCTTGTGGATATCATTTTTTATTTTTAGGTGTTATATATATTGTGTCGCCCTGTGATCCTGATGGGATGAATACATGAGTCAAATAAATAAATACAGCGAGAAACAAGTTGCTGAGTTAGATAGATCTTAGGTCTGATTTTGGGCTGTTCTCAAGAGATCTCTGGTTCATCAAGCCCAGGGTTGTCAACTGGAAGCAAAGTGTCTCATAAGAGCTATGCTCTTCTGGAGAGATACTAAAGATCTATCTGAACCAGAATCCTGTTTTCACAGTGACCCAGCAGATGCTTATGGGAAGCCCACAAGCAGGACATGAGTGCATTAACCCCTTCCCATTGTTGCTCCCCAGTGACTGGTATTTAGAGTCATGGATCCTCTGATCCTGGAGGTAGTATACAGCCATCATGATCAGTAGCCAACAATAGACAAATTTATGGAGCATAAGGTTAATCCCCTTTTAAAGCAGTCTAAGTTGGTTACAAGAACCTGGGGATAATGAATTCCATAGTTTAACCGTGGCACCCTCTGAAGATGTGGTTCCTTTGTATTCTCACATTCCCACTCTTGGTCTTCATTGGATGACCCTGAATTACGCAGGGATCTTTCCCGAACTTGCTACCCAAGGCTCTAAATGCCAGGGGTTTTGACTGCAAAGTTCTCCCACTTACCTGCTATGGAAAAAGCTGGATTCGTAACTGAATAATTTGTGTGGGGTTAGGTGTAGCAGGTTTTCATAGCTGCAAACGAAACTGAAATTTCCCCATGTAATAGGATCTTTGCTACAATAAGATATTGTGAGAGCTGTCGCAAACTGTGTGTGACAAGTTCATTCTAAATAAGGTGTGACACCTTCTCTTATTCATTAAGTTTGACAGTTGAACAAACCTTGCTGTGATTTATTCTCTAAGTACTGAAGCAAGCGCATTTGGGAAGATGTGATCTGTTGATTCAACAACGGCTGGCCTTATCCCTTGCACAGCATGCCCTTTACAATTGTGTAACCATCTGCTGTGGATTGGCTTTTGAAGACCCAAGTTTAAATCAAGTTCACAGATGGGAAAGATATTTGGGAGGAAAAGGCTTGATGTGGTGGAGCGCCAGTTTCTGGCTACTACCATTTTGCATTAATTGGCAGCTACAAGTTTGATATAAGTGGTGGCTGCTGCTGCAGACACGTTTTCATTTCATGGCAGGCACGTCACTCGCTGCTGCGTAAAAGGCCTTGAGTGTGAGGAAAGCACTTCATAAATACAAATAAAAGCATGTTGCAAGCAGCGCTTGTGGAAAGGAGAAAGGACGTGGTCGCTGGCGAGCTGCCATTGCACATAGTGAGACCAAATTATTATTCAAGCCCAGCACTGGTTTAGCTATTTTAACAAGCATGATTTATTATAGGGTTTCCTCCTGCTGTTCAAGGATCTAATTTCAATTTCACATGAGAAAAGGAATGTTACAGCATTTATGTTGCTAGCTAGTAAATAAATAATTGGTTACTGTACTTCGGGATTTCAGTGCCTTATGTTCATAGGTGATAAGGGTGGACTTTTCCTTCTTTTTTTCTTTTAAAAAATACATTCAGATGCTTCTGTTAGTCTGTCTTGATTCCAGGAAAATGCAGGAAGGGGGGGGGTTGGCTGATAAAACATTAAGGATCCTGGGTCCATCTTCTACAGTGCCTTGACTGCAGCAGGCGACCTGTTATGCCAGTTAGTAAAGCAGAAATTGGCATGATCCCTTACGTGAAGGAAAAGGTGGAATTCTGTGCTGTCCAAGAAAGTTGACTGTAAAGTTAATTATTTAAGGTCTTTATCCAAAAGGGGGATGGTCGCCCATTCAGTTTAAACATTACATATTTGCATTTCATTCACGTACTTGCAAAACCTGAGATATTTTGCATGTGTTCAAAATAAATGTTCTTTCCTCCACACACAAAATCCTCCCTCCTCTTTGAAGAGTTACTCTTGGGGAAATTATTGTTGCTAGTGAGGGGCAAAGCCCATTCTATGAGTCATTCTCTTGGAGCATGAGGGTCTCCTGAGTGGGTGGACTTTTGCTCTCCAGCTACAGATGTAATTTGAAGGACTGTTTGAGAGCAAGCTGCTTTGGCAGGGGACAAATCACCATGGCGACTCCACATGCCCCAAAGGTTATCCATAGTGTTAACCATTTGCCCCGACCAACATTATTCCTTAGGAACCCTAAGGAAATCTATCATATACTGACACCTGGACTGCACAATGTGTGCAGAATTGAAATGGGGACCTCTTTCAGGTGCACTGTACAAATCTTAAATTCTGCTTACAACCATACAAGCAGGGGTGTCCTCAAATTCTTCCAATTCTTGCCACAGTTTTCCCCAGACACCTGCTGCCTTTTTTGGCCAAGCGCATAAAGCCGAATTCACGCAAGTTAAATGCATGAAAGTTGCGAGTCAACTGTATTTCGTAATGGACATCAGACGAAAACCAAAGAGCAACTATGATCATTAGGTTCCATGACAGTCTCTCTTTCCTTGCTAACTTGCCACTGAGTTTGAGTTATCTGAGGCCAGAATAGAAAGTGGTGAGGGGTTTAAATTTCCCACCATCAATGAAGATAAAGTTTGCTCTTGAGCCAACTTGCCCAGTATTTTCTACTGCAAGTAGCAGTGACGCTCTAAATAAGGCCTTAGAGAGATAGGTATTTTTTTATTGGGGTTTGAACATGTGGCCATTTGGATACAAAGTGTGTGCTGTGGTACTTCATGACAGCTGATAATCAAATGATGGTAGTTTTATTATAAAATAAATGCTAGTCATTTTTCACAGAATTTTCTTCAAACGAAGAAATAATCTGTAAAAAAAATGTGTTCATGAGGTGGTTGGGGGGTTTTTTAAAGCTGTTTCGGGGAGTTTTGGGGAAGTCATTTGTATACGATATCCCTTCACTGTGAAACACCCACAAGATGTATCTTATTTGATAGGATCTCTTATTTATCTCATAAATAAGATGGAATGAAACCATTAAAGCACTGGTAACTTAAGATTGTAAGTGTTGATTAAAAATTGGGTTTTGGTCTAGATTTCCAACATTAAATAAGACTTATTTTAAAACAACTCAACATTCTTGTTTTAGGAAAGAGTTTAACACCATAGCTCCCTGAACTACTATTACTATTCCTTTGTTTTAATCTTTCCTCAAGTGTAGAAGTGAAAATGTATTTTCCTTGTGTAAGCTGACACAACTCAGTCCCTTTATTTATTACTTTGGCAGAGAGCCATCCCCACAGCTCTGCAAATAGGAAGAGAACCGACGGAAGTGCTATGAGCACCTATCTTGGTTAACTGCAGGCAGCTATCCAGACTTTCCTCTGCATACAAACAGCAGATATGGGTGTTTTCCAAGGCAGAGGCAGGATTTTGTTGTTTGGAGGGTAGGGAGAGAAAGGAGAAGGCCAGTGGGGGGGGGGTACTTAGACTGTGATGTACACCATGGATTAAACCAGGATATTAATGTAGATGTGCCTCAAAGGAACAAAAAATGCATTCTAAATTTGTACAGCCCGTATAGAATATGACAAGGGTCTAATTTACGTATTATATGCCTGTCATGAAATGAAGCCTTTTCATGCCCAATAAGGGGGCCTCTCTCTTCCGCACTACAAGCTTGTTTCATAGTATTCTCTCTCTTGAGGGAGTTCTAGGAGTGCTGTGAGGCTGCTAATGACCTCTGCTGGAGTATTTTCAACAGCCTCACGAAACTACAATTCCCAGGGTTCTCTGGTAAACCACAGCAGTTAAATCAATATAAAACAAATATAGATATGTAATGGGAATAGAAATGTTAAAAGCAGGACATGGGAATAGGTGGACTCAAAACCTGATCCAGCGAAGCTTTTCTTACATTCATAAACAATCTAGAGTTAGGGGAGAGCAGTGAGGTGGGCAGGTTTGCTGATGATACTAAATTGTTCAGGATCATTGAAGCAAAAACGGATTGCAAAAAGCTCTAAAAGGACCTCTGCAAAGTGAGTGAATTAGTAGTAAAATGGCAAATGCAATTCAGTGTAAGTGTAAAGTGATGCATGTTAGGGTGAAAAATCTTCATTTCACATTTTTGTCATACCCTCCAAAGGCAAAAACTGGGATGCCATCTTTTGGGATGCCATCTCCCTGTTTTCTTTTTTCTCACAAGAGGATGGTGGCCATTTTGGGCATCCTGATTTCATGCGATTTTGCACCATGATTTCTACCCGGAAAGCTGTTTTTTTGGGCTTGGTGCCCAAAAATATGCATTTTGGGGCACCACATGAGATTGTGGCCCTGAAAAATCACAAGATCACGGTGCCCCAAATGGCTTCTGTCCTCTTGCAAGAAAAAGCTTTTTTTTCTGGGGCATTTGCAAGGTATGATATGTGTGGTATGGACTGGTAGTGATTGAGCACAGGGTTGTAGTGAAGATGTCAGCCCCAGTGTGTGTCAGCTGTGAAAAAGTTGCAGAAAGATCCCTGTTAGGGATCATTAGGAAAGGAGCTGAAAATAAAAATGCAGATATCAGAATGCCCTTCTACAAAAGCTGTAGTGCAACCACATTTGGAATACAGTGCAAGTTCTGGGCACCACATCTCAAGAAGAATATTGTAGAGATGGAAAAGGTTCAGAAAAACACTTTGAGGTTTTAACTGTTTTGAGGGGTTTTTTAAAAAATAAAAATAATTTTTTTGTGAACGTACTAAATAAAGGGGCAATCCTGATTATCAAGGAGGGTGAACTAGGGGTATGTCTCCCTGGCATCTAGTTTTCTGTGTGCAGTAGAGCACTTAGTCCAATGATCTCCCCCACCTGGAGTCCTGAAGTGGTCAAGTGCAGGAGCAGCTGAAGCACATGATTGTCAGAGACCAGGCTGAGGAATACAGCTCTTATGAAGAATGGTGGGACCCTCCCCTTCCCCCTCCCCCTGCTCCTGACCAGAATTCTGAAGCTGCCCAGGAGCAGTGGAGCAGTATAGATTTGGAACAGTGGTTTGCAGAGGGGCATAGTTCTGACGACAAAAGTTGGGATGAACTGGGGGGTGAACAGCAAAGTGAAGAATAACTGGAAAAGAGAGAGCTAACAGACTCTCTCTCTCTCGCTGGAAAGTGTCCAAGGTCACACAGAGCAGATAAGGTGGCTACACAAAAAGCAGGGTGGTTGCGAGATCAGGTTGCAAGATGGAAGTGACTAGGGGGAAAGTGGGTGGAATCCTTAACTGGGAACACCTTCATTCCGAGAATGGATGCGTTGTTCTTTTGCTGCGATGATTAAAGACTCTTTAAATGGTAAGGGACTCTTTTCGCTTTGTCCTGATTATCTACGGCCAAAGGGGGGGGAGGTAGCTGAGTCCCAGGATCCTGACAATGATCTACTGCTACAGTCAGACTGAATTCTTCCATCATGTTCAGCCTGATAGACAAAATTTCCACCACAGATATTAGACCTATCTATTTATATGGGTCCTCTGTTCTGTTCTCAAAGAATATGATTATGCTTTTCATTACAGTATGTTTCTGGAATCTCAGTCCTCTCTGTTTTTAGTGGAATGGTGTTCAAACATGACAATTATTTTATTCCAGGGCGGAGACCTTTTTGATGCCATTACTTCCACAAACAAATATACAGAGCGGGACGCTAGTGGGATGCTGTACAATCTGGCCAGTGCCATTAAATATCTTCATAGCTTGAACATCGTCCACAGGGATATCAAACCTGAAAATCTGCTGGTAAGTTTAACCTTCGGTATGTTCTGGAGATTTCTGTTCATATGGCTGATGTTGGTAGTCTGCCTCATAGCTTCAATGAAATACGTATCTCTAGATAAAAATGCTCACCCTAAGAAGCATTTCAAGTCTAGCAAATATTGCACCGTCTACAGACTAGTCATGCTTTACTTGTGGAACACAAATGGTTTACTTCTATTTTAGAGATACAGCTATATGCAATATTTCAAGGATCATGCTGTTGGAGAATTGAGCTTCTGAATCTGTCAAGTAGTCCAACAAACATTGTTAATATTATTTCTAAAGACAAACCTTTGAAATGTTATGATGCTCCACTGCTGTTCTCTCTATGACTCCAAAAGAGGTTTCTTTCCTGACTTTGAATTACATGAAAAGCCACAGTGTCCTCTCTACCTTTTGTGTTGTGGGTGCTATGTTTCATGTTGCATTATTATTATTATTATTATTATTATTATTATTATTAATAATAATACCCCGCCCACCTGGCTGGGTTTCCCCAGCCACTCTGGGCAGCTTCCAACAAAACACTAAAATACAATAACCTATTAAACATTAAAAGCTTCCCTAAACAGGGCTGCCTTCAGATGTTTAATCATTTGCAACTCATCAATTGCTCTGGTAGCCTTGGTACTGCCCCCAGTTGGTCCATTGTACCTCAGAACCCACACAAACAAGCCCATTTCTTATTCCCCAAACATCAGCTATGCTCTGAACCCAAGTATACCAGGCTGCAAACCAACTTCATCTTGCTTCTACCAGCTTTGTCTCTCCTCTACCCTCATACCAAAAGCTATGGTAGGACCTTCCTGCAAACTAGAACCCTTTGATGAGGAGACCTGAGAAAAGTATTGCTGCATCTATAGAATCTGTGAGTTGTATCCAGTTGTGTCCCAGTCTGCTGATCTTTGATCCAGTAGAGTCTTCTGCAAGAGAAAGGGAGAATTGCCAGGGTTTGCTGTTTCATCCTTCCCTTTGAAGCCCCTTGCACACACACACACACACACACACTCCAATCTGCTCTAGGGTTCTGTGAGTTGTTTGGAGGTTCCTGTTCCCCTCACAGAGTTTCAGTTGCCAAATTTGCCACAAAGAGGGATTGATTGCTAATCCACTCTGAGAACTGTAGCTCTGGGAGAGGAATAGGATTTCACAGCACATTAAAAGTAAGGTAAAGGTAAAGGGACCCCTGACCATTAGGTCCAGTCTGGGGTAGTGGTGCTCATCTCGCTTTACTGGCCGAGGGAGCCGGCGTACAGCTTCTGGGTCATGTGGCCAGCATGACTAAGCTGCTTCTGGCAAAACCAGAGCAGCGCACAGAAACGCCGTTTACCTTCCCGCTGGAGCGGTACCTATTGATCTACTTGCACTTTGATGTGCTTTCGAACTACTAGGTTGGCAGGAGCAGGGACCAAGCAACGGGAGCTCATTCAAACCGCCGACCTTCTGATCGGCAAGTCCTAGGCTCTGTGGTTTAACCCACAGCGCCACAGTGTGACAATTATCTTTTATATAATTTTGCTGCTGCTGCCTTTCTTGTTTACCTGGGCTGATAGGAAAGTGTGTTACTGTTTAGGAGAGAGGCTGAGGGCCAAATCAAATGTGTGGGTGGCAGATCTTTATACACAGATCTGTCCTGATTGTGTAGGGCCCAGCATAATAGTATTGGGTCCAACATTAACAACAAATAGAACCCAACCATCCACTCGCCCTGCTGGCCTGTTCCTTGTGAATAATTGCCGTTAGGCTCAGTTGCACTGTGGAACTAATATTTCACACACACACACACACACACACACACACACACCACTTTTCAACAATGCAGTGTATTCTTTGCCGTATCGAAGTCTGAATGTTAGTACTGGTGCACTGCTGTGTATGTAAGCTAGTGCAATCACATGTCAAGATTCATTAGACTCTTGTTTCTGAGAACGCCAGAGATGGTCTCATGGGGAAACGCTTACAATGCTTTTGTATTCAAACTTTTCTCAAGTTTGACAGCAGTAGACTGAAGTTCTCCCTCGCCCTCTTGGTTGTTTTCCCTCTTAAAATAGCATTGACTGACCTACCATGAGCAATTATGCTGGGTATTTTTTTTATAACCATATTTTCGTGTATTTTGCAGTCCAGAGCACTCACAATAGTCCTGCGCTATTGTGCACATTCCACACTGATTACTAGTCAATACATTTTCCTACTAAGACAATTGCACTCAAAGGACATGTCTGTGTATGTTGCTTCCATCAGTTTAAACTGCACAAAAGCACATGGGAGTTTGTTGAGATGTGATTATTTCTAAGCAGCTATCACGGGCAAGATTGCCTTTGCAGCTTCAAGATGCCTGGGGCCTATTGTTCTTAGTATTGCATACCAAATGCTAGTATGCTTTTTTTGCACTAACTGAATTGTGCTATCCAGATGCAATATGGATACTAGCTAAAATAATATCTGTGGCCACACGCTAGTCCTAAGCACATTGCATAGAAATTGGGTACACTGATTTAAGACTTAACTTCCATAGAAGTTCTCTTAGGATCACACATTTAGATATCTATATCTAGATATAGGACTAGTTCACACATATGTCCATGAAATCCCATCCCAAGCCTTTACTTCATACAAAAAATGTGTACTATATTAATAGTAACACCTTGATCTTTGGCCTGGCGGTGTGTCCCCTCCCATTTCACTGAATTGGGGTAGGTACCAAACATGGGCAAAATTGTTGGCAAAATTGTTGGCTGCACATTCTGTCCTTGGCACCCATCAGTTTGGCTTAGATGAAGCTAAGCTGTTTTTCTGACTGGGCTTTGGGGAAAATAGCTTAATCTGAGGTAATCCACACGGTCCTATTGCAATTCACAGAATAAACACCCCAAGATGGTATTGCTTCTCAAACGTTGCCCTCACATTCTCTAGCTTGTTGCTTTACATCTAGGTCACATCACTCCCCAAATCTCTACTTTAAACTCTGCCTTTTCTGCAGAGGGAGGTGGCATCACCCATTTAACATCTTGGACTGAGCCCCTTAATCCTTCTTAATGGCAAATTACCAAGGTTATCACCTCACCAGGAGGCTAGCCTGGCCTTTAGGTAAAGGTAAAGCTACCCCTGCCCGTACGGGCCAGTCGTGACCAACTCTAGGGTTGTGCGCTCATCTCACTTAAGAGGCTGTGAGCCGGCGCCGTCTGAAGACACTTCCGGGTCACGTGGCCAGCGTGACGAAGCTGCACTGGTGAGCCAGCACCAGTGCCTCACACGGAAACGCCGTTTACCTTCCCGCTATAAAGCGGTACCTATTTATCTACTTGCACTTAGGGGTGCTTTCGAACTGCTAGGTGGGCAGGAGCTGGGACCAAAAGACAGGAGCTCACCCCGCCGCGGGGATTTGAACCGCCGACCTTACAATCAGCAAGTCCTAGGCACTGAGGTTTTACCCCAAGCCTGGCCTTTAGCCTTGCTTAAATTCTAACACTTGGTGGATCCAGGGGTTAGAAGGGTCTGGCACCCATCTTAACACCCCAAACTCATAACAACATAATGCCTGAATATCTTGCTCGCTCATAATATGGATGATTTTGATTTGGATGAAGGCAGAGGTTGACACATGTGGGTGTAAAAGGGTTACTAAATTATGGCCACACCTCTTTTGCTGATTTTACCATGCATAGTATTCATATCCCGTTCCAGTACATGTGCTATTAATCAACTGGCTCTTTTACCATTTTAGCAAGCCAAGCTAAAAGCCTTAGTCATATGAAAAGGCTGTAATACTTCACCTCTACATTCCCTTCATCTGGAAGGCATGCCTTTTCCATTTTAATTGGAGCATTTTTTCATAATTGCTCCTATTTAACATGATTATTTTGTCAAATCATGGGATAGCTTTATAGCCATATAATAAGCCCAGGAGAACAACTTCTCTGACTGTTGCCATCTGCAGTGATCACAAGAGCAGCTTAGGAAATATGGACAGTCTTTAGAGTAATGGGATACATATGGTAGCACACAATTATGTGTGGCTGGATTCAATTAGTGTTGTACAATTACACAGTTTTATTGCTTAGTTAAAACAGTGAAAGCACTACATAGTGGGTAATTTGCACTAATCCACATCTCTTTAATTGCCCTTCAGGGCTTAAAGGAAAATAGAACTTGTAAAGAGCTTACTTTCTTAGTAAGATGAGCTTTAAATGATCATCTACATTCTTTGCTCTTCACAGGGCAGACAATTAAAATATTACCGCTTTACATTGAAGCCTTATTTTTGTCTTTAATCTTACTTACCAGGGCAGAGGGAGCATGTCCCCGTGCCCACTGCTTGTTTACTTGTTTTCAGAAATGAACTGAAGGGTTGGGTTTTAAAAAAGAAAATAGACCCTTACTTGTAAAAAGCTCCAGGGAGAAGTTATATATATATTTATTTTTTAAAAAAAATGCATCCCTGGATTTTGTTTAGTTAAAAAAATCCTGGTGAAATGATAAATTGGTTCTTTTAATAGACATTCAATAAACTTAATGTTTTAAGTTCCTGAACACTTTGCAAAATAACTTCCCCTGCCCTGCCCCACAATAGAAACACTGAAAAAATATGCCTGGGGTTGTTTATTAAAAATAAATGTGGTATTCTGCCTAGTGTAAATTCAGACACTGAGGTAGCTCTGCATTCTATGTCCTAGTCACAAAGTCTTTACAAAGCCTAGTGCACAATCCCTAATTAAAAATGTCATTGAAATATAATTTACTGCTGCCACTTCAGCAAACACTTTCTTAAAGATTCATAAAACAGATGTGCTTAGCAACTCACATTTTTAATAATAGAGCAATTCCATTTTTAAATATCCTCCTTCCCTACCCATATTCATTCTGGCTTTGTCACAGCCACTGTGTGCTGAAAACTTCTGTTTGCTGCTCCTTTTCGAAGACAAAATTCCAGTTTCATGAGCTCACTGAAACCCAATTGAAGGGGGGGAGTAGGCCTCTGAATGCAAAACATATTCTCAGAATATGTATTTGATGCTAGGGTGTGTTTCTATTGCCATGCAATTTACGTGTAGTTTGCATTTCACAAATAAGAAAAACATTCTCTTTGCCATGCAACTTGCAATAGGCTTTGGTGGCTGCCTAGCTCACAATTTAAAGGGTAAAGAAGTGTTGTAGAAAATCTGAAACAGCAAGCAATTTTATTAATAAAAACAAATTCCCTCTGTGGTCAATGGCCATTGAAATGTAGAATAATGGATCTGGAGGTGCCTAATGGCATGAAGTCCAATACTCAGCCAAAAGCAGATATCCATAAGTAGTAGGGAGAAACCTGCTTGGCCTATACTTCATTCTCAGCCATGGACAATATCTGACAGAAAAGTGATGACCAAGCTGGAAGTGACCTTCAAAGATCCTTCTGCCTCACAGAGTGAACTAAACTGCTCTTATTAAATTAATATTAATTATGAATACTGGAGGACTATACCACCTGCATGGCAATAGATTGTCTCTATAGCAACTCTAGCAACCTGTTGTACATCCCTACAGTAAGGATACTGTGCTGTTTGTTCAATTTAAAGCTTCTGGCTACTGTTTCATGTTTATTAAGTGCAAGCTAAGTTCACTCCAACCCCTTTATCACTCTCTGTTCACCTCTGGCTCTCATCTCCCCACATCTGCTGTGTTCAGGCATGCTTGGGGATGGGGGCCTTCACTGCCACAAGCACAATGGAATAGAAGATTGACTGTTAAGGGAAAGGGAGATTCCTGCTAGAGGGAACACACTGAATCAGAAAACTGTTTGTTTAGGTTTATGAGCACCAAGATGGGAGCAAGTCACTGAAACTGGGAGATTTTGGACTGGCCACCATTGTTGACGGACCTCTTTACACCGTCTGTGGGACACCTACTTATGTAGCTCCAGAAATCATTGCAGAAACTGGGTAAGATGGTTTGTAACACATTTGGTATGAACAATTAAATGTATTAGTAATTTGTAAATTAAATCTTGAGAAGAACATTGACAGATTAGGGCCAAGACAACAATCAAACATTTATCAAGTTTCTAAGATAGTATTAAGGTTAGTTGCTGATTACTGCTGTTTACAATCTCTCTTCCTTCATTTTATATCCTGTTTCAGTTAGTGCCTGGTGTGCAGAGCGACTGTCATCTAGTGAAAGAGATCCATATTCTTCTCGTGAATAGTGGATGTCCATTTGAATATAAATCACACTGTACTTGCATTTTAATATTTTAGATTTAATTCTTGCACTTCATTTTCTAAAATGCCATGTGAAATATAGCTATTACTAAGACAACGCCGTGTAATTTAATGATGGTCTTTGCCATGGTATCATTTTCTCTTTGCTTTTATTTTGCACTATTGATCACACATTCTTTATAATATTAATCATAATCTCTTGTCACTTGTAGATATGGCCTGAAGGTGGACATCTGGGCAGCTGGTGTGATTACTTACATCCTGCTGTGTGGTTTTCCTCCATTCCGTGGGTATGGGCAATGCTGTTCTATTCCCCTTTTAACAATGCATTTCTGTGCTATTAGAAACCCGAATGTTTTTTCTCTCCGGGTATAATGCTAGCTGCTCTCCCCACCCTTCTCCTCCCCTGCTGTGTGAGGCAATGTAATTTACCTAAACAGTATCATGATAGGTGAGATGATGATATCATAGGTTTATTTTTATTTATGCAATTCACTGCTGGTAAAAAAACAAACGAAATAAAAATGATGTTCTTCCCAGAATTTAAATATTATGCTGTGCCCTTTTAGAATGGTATAAAATGTATATCAAATATATGTTTACTGAACGTAGAAGTGCAGAGCCTTGCAATTTTCAGATATAGTCTGATGAATTAACAAAGGCAACTGTTTCTTAGGAGCTTTCTTTCTTTCACATTTTGAATACATGCTTTTTGGTAGACTCTGCAAAATGGGAGAAACACATTTTTCCTCAAGCACAGGGCTTTAAGAGCAGAGTCTTGCTGTTTCATGTATTTACTTTATCTTTTTCCATGTGGTGGAAACTTAACACTTTTGTTTCCTTACCGTGTAGAAGTGGAGAAGATCAGGAAGTCCTTTTTGATCAGATTTTGATGGGACAAGTAGACTTTCCATCTCCCTACTGGGATAATGTTTCTGACTCTGCAAAGGTAAATCGTGCTGCTTTGCTCTTTTCATATCTTACTGGCAGCTCTCTTTACAAGCCTTCCCTGGAAGCCTATTGTAAAGTTTCAACTGGTGCAGATCAAAAAGTTTTAACTAGTGCAGATAAAGATGCTAACCCAATGTGCTGCAGAAAGGAATGGAAAATAAAACTGCCAATATCATAACGCTGTTTGCATGTTCAGACCCAGAGACCTCCCCCCTAAATAAATTCACTCAAATTTTAGTTTTGGTTTTTGGCAGAATTTAGGCCACAACTTTATTGATTACAGAAAGTGAATGGTTGCATAGGCTCTGGTTTGACTAGCTCCCTGCACTCTTGCAGGCAGCGCTGACCCAGAGCACCAACATAGGTCAGCCAAGGGTGAACACCTGGGAAGGTGAAAAGCCGGGTACAGACACTGTTCACCACCCAGATGCCCCCCTGGACTCAAGTATGGGCACAACCCCCTCTCAGGGGTTGACCAAACCATTTGAGTCCCTGGATTCCTTTAACGGAATACCCTTCACATAGGGATGGCAAGAGCGTTCTCCCATCCCTATCACCTGAACCAGTGCCTATCTGCAACCTCACAAGTTGTGACGATTTGCTACACGGCAGGTGAAACCCAAATGGCAACAGCCAATCAGCCAAGTAGGGAAATTCCTGCTGTGCCCCTGTCCCAACGACAGACGACACACGACAGCATAGCAAGGTCAAAGCACAATGCCCTAAAAATAGGGAGACGTGGGCAGGTGTTGCGAATACACGAGCCGAAAGAGGAAGCTCTGGGTCATGTGCATATATATAGGTCCCTCGATCCATTTGGACTGCGCCCCATTGGTCAGATTGAACCCAACATCGATGGACCTACCAATCGGGTGTTGTGGCTAACCAATCAAACCCACCCACAACACAAGGGGTCAGTCTCCAGGTCTCACAGTAACATGTGCCCTCTTTTAGGGAGGGCACAATATACAAATCTATGGTGCGACTGCATTTGGAATACTGTGTACAGTGCTGGTCACCTCACCTCAAAAAGGGTATCGTAAACTTGGAAAACATTCAGAAAAGGCCAACCAAAATGACTGAGGGAAAAGACTGACTCCCCTATGAAGAAAGGTTTCAGTATTTGCAATGTTTTCGTTTAGAGAAAAGGCAAGTGAGCGGTAGCATGATAGTAGTTTATAGCATTATGCATGGCATGGAGAAAATTTCCTCCCCTGTCTCCTAGCATTAGAAGCCATGAACACCCAACAAAGCTGAATATTGAAATATATAGGACAGATAAAAGGAGTGCTTCTTCATACAGCATATAGTTAAACTATGGAACTTTCCATTTCACAGGAACTTATTACTATGATGCTACAGGTAGATATAGACCAGCGATTTTCGGCTTTGCAAGTCCTTGAACACCCATGGGTTAATGTAAGTAAATCTAAAGGCTAACAGCTTTATTTTAACATTGCTATCTTTTTTTTAAAAAAAATAAATCATTTGCTTGTGAAGTCTTTTGAATTGCTGTTTTAGAAATATGACACATGCCACAAGTAGCTGCCAACCTAGCAGTTCGAAAGCACACCAGTGCAAGTAGATAAATAGGTACTACTGCGGCAGGAAGGTAAACGGTGTTTCTATGCCCTCTGGTTTCCGTCACGGTGTTCTGTTGTGCCAGGAGCGGTTTAGTCATGCTGGCTACATAACGTGGAAAGCTGTCTGTGGACAAACGCCAGCTCCCTCGGCCTGAAAGCGAGAAGTGTGCTGCAACCCCATTGTCGCCTTTGACTAGACTTAACCATCCAGGGGCCCTTTACCTTTTACTTTAGACCTAGGGTTTTATACAACAAAGTTGTCCTGTTAGCACAAGGACCTCCCCTCCCTCTTTCCCCCCTTGCCCCCCAAACCATTCCCCCCCAAAAAAAAGCTAGAGATGTGCTTTATGACCCTTAACCAGTTCAGTACATCAGTACGCTATTGTTTAGCATAGGACACACACACTTCTTCGGATTACAAAACAGGATGTTACTCCTATGTTGCAGAGATACTGGCACAAAGCTTTAAGTATCAAGATGCTGGTCAGTTGTTGATGTACATATGTCCAAAATACCTGAAAGAGTGGGGCAAATCTATTTTAAATGGCTTTTTTAAAGACTTCAGCCATTATTTATGAGAATATGAGTCTATGTTTCATACAGCACATTGAGGGGGAAGGATGAATATTACTGACTTGTGGATGACCAAAAAAATACAACCCATTTGTAAGAGTGACTGTGGCAATCCACCATGAGCAATCTGTCTTTGTATCCTGTTTATTAATTACACATACCCTGAAATTATTCTTTTTGGGGGATTCTCCAGATCTATTTTAATAGCGCATGGAAGTACCCAGCAAGTTGGTCTTTTAAGGCCTTATTCCTAGGCCAACTCTAGTCTATGTAGACTGTTACTGTGTCAACTTCAGGCATGTTGAATTAGCCAACTGGGTAATTCATGAATACCGTACAAAACTAGAATGGTGTAACAACTGGCAACCTTCAGCACATAACTTCATGATATTAGAAAGTTAGTCAGCTGCCTCCAAGCACTTTTAGATCTTGTAAATTGCAGGTTCCCAAATAAAACAGTTAAAACTAGTAGGTCCTAATAATTAATATATTGTTAAAAACAATATGGTAGTGGTCTAGAAAATGTCTCCTGAATTGTCCTTCAACTCCTCGAAGATCATAATTCACAAATGCTTCTTTTTGCTTTGCAGGATGATGGCCTTCCAGAGAATGAGCATCAGTTGTCTGTAGCTGGAAAGATCAAAAAGCACTTCAACACAGGCCCCAAGCCCAACAGCACAGCTGCTGGAGTTTCCGTTATAGCAGTAAGCATCTGCAATACAATGCTTAACTTTTCTCCCTCAGCGTCTGTATATTGGGTCTGTGCTGAGGAAATGGCACCCAAAACTCAGCAGATAGTTATGCCTTTAATGCAGTATAAAACAAAGCTTCAATTATCCCATCTTCTTCCAATTTCTTCATCTTGAGACCCATATCATCACCCAAGGATATTAGGCAGCACATACTATCCTATATATTTCTGAAAATCAATCCCTTAATGGAGAAAATCCAATGTGCATTCACAAATGTGGCATTTAAGCTTGTGATCATTTACTTTAAAATTGTTTCCTGGATTGGACTGTTATAATACTTACCTGTAGCAAGAGCAAAAAAACCCAATTCGAAGCAGGAATTCCTTACACCAAGCACATAGAAATCATTAAGTGTCAAGAAATAAAACTGCTTCTGGAGTAGCAATTTTTGCCTACACCAACTGGCACTGAAATACTGCACGGATTAGCAATATGCAGCCCACTGCATTGGCTCCTAACGCCCTACATGCTGTGGCATGTATACAGCTGACCCATGGAGCATTCTATGTGCATGATTGGCAGCTGTACAATGTCCCCACCCCCACAACTCAAGATACTGATAGTGGAATGCCTAATATGGTTTTAGGACTAGGACCTAATTTTTCCATCACAGTCTGATAGAATTATAGAAGCGTTTTAATGGCCTAAATGAATCTCTCCTTTTTTAAAGACACCCATGAGAAAAAACTTCCATTTTTCATTGTAAGATACAAATCTATGTGCCCATAGATTTTATTCAGTGTACATATCACTCTTTGGACACAAGCTGGCTAGCTGCTTCCCTCCAGACAGGAATCAAACTGGCTGGAGATTTAAACAGAACTCCGTACAAAGCTTCTGGTAGCACACATGGTTTTTTGTTTTGGTTTTTTGCAATTCTCTGCAGAAGCCCTGTTAAAATCTCAGTTGCACATAACAGCACAGATGAAAATGTACCAGGCTTCCTCGCTTCCTCTTCTTCCAACCATAAATACAGAAAGGCCAACAGTAGCTAACAGGGTTATCATTTATCTATTTCCCACAAACATGCACAGAAGTCATTGGGTTTCCCTAAATTAATATCACTGAGCGGTCACTGGGTTTGTTTGTTTTTTAACATGCCCATCTTCTTTCTTTACGTCTGCTTGTGCTTTTTAAGCTTCCTTTCATAAATGTGCCTACTAATCATGCTCCAGAAAGAGCCATCAGAATGATGCATCGAACATAATAACCATTGACCATACCAGATTAATTGACATTTTTTCCCAGCTTGGATAAAGTGCAGGTGGAGCCCCTTTTCGTGTAGCTCTCCCACTTTCACGGTTTTGGGGAGTTTTTTTGGCTTGGCCCTTTTGGGGTGGATTTTAAGTCGGCATGAATTAAATTCGGCTCGTTTGGCTCAGCCCATCTTTTCTGGATGCTTGCTCCAGAGTTATTTGGTTTTGCAAGTGTTTGTCCCTCCCCTCATCGTCTCCCACCCCACCAATGATTTTATTTCTTTAGCTGTTAAAATTGAATAAATAATCCCTGCCTCAAAAATGGAAGGTAATCTTTCCCTCATGCTTTCCTTAGGTTTGGTCACTGTTTTTATTCATCTCATTGGCTAAAAATACAGTCAGCGTTTGCTTTTTTTTAAATGTTCCATTAAAACCAAAGCGACAGTAGCTGTTTCCCACAACTAAAACATCCCATTATGTGCATTCGTCATATGAAATATCAGGTATGTTCTCAACTGCCCAGCTGAAAACCTTTTCAATTGGGCTGCCAGCACGCTTGCCCATGAGAAGCACTTGCTCAGGTCCTCTATACGAGGGATTTCATAGCTTTTCAAAAGCTCTTTCAGAATGCTTTGCCAGCTCCTTTTTCACCCATCCTTCGCCGCCTTTATTATGCTTATGTTTATTTTTTGTTTAATTTGCACCAATTGCACTGGAAACTGATTGCTTTAAGTAGTTTTGATATTTTAATTGAGGAAAGACACTGCAATGCAGCTTCTCACCGAAAACCGGAAATGGCATAGAAATAGAATGACATGCGGATCTTTGTTTTGGTTTTTAGCACTATATTATTTGAATATTGGCACCCTGTCTGTTTAGTACTGGAGATTGGCGTTTTCCTGCTAGTAATCCACCACTGTGATTTATCATGAATGTGCACACAAGCCCTGCCACTTCATCTAACTTTTCCAAAAACGCAGAGAACAAATTTTCACCATTCATATATAAATGTGTGCTTGTTTGCTTCTTTAAAAATATTTATGATTCCCCCTGTAATAGTAGACCTCTAAAGAATTTGCAACAAAATAAAATACGGAATAACACACACCATAAATAAAACAGTAGAGTGTTAAAAGTGACCTGGTACAATCAACATTCCAGAAATGCTTGCAGAAATAAGAAAGGTTTTCACAGCACACTGTGTGCTTTGCCTCTTCTGGCAAGGTATTTCATAATATAGGGGGTCCTTCATGGAATGCTCTCTTCTGAATATAGAGAGATTTGATTTCTGTGGTGTGAGGCACCTCTAAAAGCTAACAGGCAAGATAATGCTAATAAACCCACACGTTCCAGTGCACAGTCTCAGCAGCAATAAAATCAGAGTTGCCTGCAACTCAAAAGTTAGTCCCATTGAGGTCACCTTTCCTCCTAGGAAACTAAGTGCTGGCATGCTGCCTAAATCCAGTTTTTGTAAGGCCAGCTGCTCAAATTAAAATGCAGTGGCAGATAGGCTTTAAATCAATTATAAGATAGCATTTGGTATAATTCTTAACTTAGATACTCTACAAGTGCCAGAATTTAGTGTTAAGAAATCTTAAGTTAATTGACTCCCTTTTTTGTTAAAATAGTTTGAACGTACAGTAAACATGAGTGGATGAATACAGCATGCAAATGCTTTCAAGGTTTGTGGACGTGTGTGTCCAATTTAGCCTTACAGGCATTGGCTTCAAGGAAGCATACAGGAAGTGGTGATGTCCCAGACTTAGATGGCTTTTAAATGGGGAAACCAGGAAGGTTTGTGAAGCTCAGTAGCAACTGAATATGATTACAGGGAAGGGCTGTAGCTTACATTGGATCATCCTTGTGCGCTGGATGCATATGTAGCACAGAACCCACCTCTGTTCTTATTGAAAGGAGGGCTCCTCTTGAAGCCAGTTGAGGCTGGTCCAGCCATTTCTTCTTATCATGCAGTCGAGAGTGTGGCCCAGGCTGTTGGATTCAAGAGTTGCCCTTGGAGAGCTCGGCAAGGAGGCAGGTGATGGAGACAAAACCAGAATTAGTAGGACTTGATATTGGCTTTGGCACCTCCTGTTGGTCTTCCTGTCTTCAACCCTATCAGTCCCAATGGGCATCAGCCAGCACTGCTTGAAGTGAACCAGAATGAATAAGCTAGAAGTGAACAGGTGTTCACAATGAAGGATATTAATTACAGTGTTTAAATCTGCCTTTCCTTGTGGCTTTAGCAAAGACACGTTTTGATCATGCCTCTCAATTCCCCCTCGAAGAACAAGAAGCATTTTGCCCAGTGAGGGTTACTCATTGAAAATGAAAGGTAATTGACATTTCTTGCAAAGTGGTAATAGTCACGTATCTCTTGTACCCATACGCCAGGGTTAATGAACATGGGGGCATCCAGATGTAACTGGATTACAACTCCCATCACCCCTGATCAATGGCTGGGGCTGGTGGGAGTTGGAGTCCGGCAAACTCTGAAGGACCACAGGTTCCCAATCTTTACCATTTGCCATTTGAAACATTGAAAGGAAAAAAAAAGGGCGATGAACTCTGATGATAACTTGTGGTGTTAATATGTAGGGCACTTAGCTTTTTCGTGCAAATAAATGTTTGGTATCAGTGGTAGTTTTGCAATGCATTTTTAAATGATGCTGCACTTTTGTCTGCTTCCGTAAGTTGTGTTGAATTGGTTTTACTGTAGTGTTTTCCTAATTTGGTGTGTTGTAGCCAGCCCTGGGATCATATGATGAAGGTCTGGTTAGAAAATCTCCTATAAATGAAATATGTTGCCAAATAGTGTCTTTCAGACCTGAGAAGTATGAATTTTATACAAGAGGCCTGCAGCCACGGCAGTGCTAATCTTTTGTTATTGGTAGCTTTACATAAAACAAACATATAGTATTCTCTCTGCGGGTTGTAGTTGTGATTTTATAGCTACACAAGAGAGTAAGCTATGTCAATGAATGCTCCTTTCTTCTCTATGTTGTTTACCCTCCTAAGCCTGAAAAATGCTTTTAAAAATACAAGTAATTGCTTCAGGACTATAAATAGGCTTTCTATCAACTTGTCACTGTTTTCTTTGAGTGTTTCAAACTAGTGGCTTTACTGCTGCCTGCCAGAGTCTCCGTTCACTGAGGAGAGCCGACAATTATGGCTTAACTGAATACAGATGTCTTGAAGAAGTTGTGGTAAAATGGTGTTGCCCCACAGATTTGACTAGCAACACTTTTCCATTTGCAAATTAATACACACAAGTGATTTTTAATTTTTAAATAGATAAACACACAATTTAATGTACTGGCCAAGTATAATTCAATTTGAGTTAAAGTTATGAGTGCTAACATGTTGAGTCATGTGTGTTTGTGTGGAGACACAATTGTGTGTGTGTGTGTGTGTGTGTGTGTGTGTGTGTCTGTTGTCATCCTTGAGTAAGCAGAAGAAAATAGGCTTATGATAACATTCTGCTTAGTTTAACGAAGCTCCTAGGTTTAGCCGTGGAAGCAAATCTCAGCTTGAGGTTTGCAGGAGGCATATAGCAGTGCTGAGGGAGAAAGGTGAAAGTAGGATGAAAAAAATAGCGTCCTGCCTGGAAAATTACTCTGATTGCAAACTGATTCAGTAAAATTGGAAGTATGAGGGGATTAGGGCTTCAAATGTATTACCAGGAACACCAAATAAAATGTAAATGCCATTTTGACAGTGGCTAATTGGAAAGGCCGAACTCTCTGCAGAGCATGAGCT